AAATTTCAACACACATAACTCATACATGTATGCGTGCACATACACCTGTACAACAAGCTCATGCCATTTATGTATTTGTTTGGCTCTTACTCTATACCAAACAAATCTGATCAAGTTATTAACTGATTCTACTAAACATAAATATCTTCCATTCTCTGGGGTTTGAATGCATCCATCATCCTGGGATTACAATAAACGACACTTGGACTGCCATTCTCGTTTCCTAAGTAAATGGCAGACATTATTAGTTGATCACTAGACTATTTTCTCCCAAGTGTAAATCAGACCTCACAATCTTTTTTATAGTACCAAGCAGCCACTAGGAATTAATAGAATTAGATACTTCGAGACCATTTCACATTCCTATGTTAAACTGAAACTTCATTAAATAATTTAATACCATTTTGTCTTTTAATAACCCATAACCCTTCTCATAAGAGAAGACCAGTAAATATTTAGTGAATTAAAGAAACTGCATTCTAAACATAAAGCTTTTATAATGAAAGAAAGATCATGAATCAAGGTAAACTTTGATTCTATTTAAAAACATAGAAATGGAAGCTTCACGTGTACTTTTAACTGACTAGGTGCTCATCAAGCATGAATAATGAACCCAAATGATTAAATTAATAATTCATAAAATAATTTTCAATCCATAACTAGTGGCATATTATGCATTAAGTTCAAGGCTATAAGATTCAAGGACACAAAGAAGCAGGGGACCCAGGCCCTTATCTCTAATATCTACTTGAGACATTTCCTACTAAAACACAGAGTAAGAAGTATCATGCTGGTATTTGTGATGACAGAAAATTCAGATGTTTGAAGGGAAGAGGGCAAGATTTCTTTGAGGCTAAAAGGGAATTCAGTAGATGAGCCAGTTCTTCTAAGGATCTATTATTACCCCTCCATATCCTGACAGTAAACTCTGTCTTTGTGTCTATCTATCAGATTATCTGGAGAACAAAGTGGTCTATAACCCACGTGCACTCAGATAGAGGGCAATGGCTTTAGAATCCATGAACAGCTAGGAAGATATGATATGCTTCCATTCTTCTGGTGACTCCTGACCCAGACTGTCCATGTCCTTAAGATCAATACATAGTAACAGAAAAGGAGTGAACTTATAAACCCTCTTGGCAAAAATACTAAAAAGGTGGTGTATTGGTTGGACTCTTTCCCTCATGTAGGCATCTTTTAACCTACACCTACCTGCCTTATGAATCGTATCAGGGAGGATGAATTTAAAATTTAAAAAAAGAACTTGGCTTTAATGGACTCTAGTGCTATCTTTCCTGAATCTAGCATCTCACACATATTTCACAATGACCTCTTACCCACGTCTGTAATGACTTGCTTCTTAGTCTAAAATCTTTCCATCTGTCTCACATGTAAAATGTAACGTCCCAAGAGTAAACACAGTGATGACAAATGCAATGCCGAACTTGTCAAGCCAAGTAAGATGTTCAGACTACCTTCAACATTCAAATTTGTGACAAGATTTCCTGATTGGCTATGAAGGGGGTTGGGGGCATAAAATCAATCACACTTTACATCACAAATGACTACAACAAACAATGTGTAGATAGAAATCTTAATTAAGCAATGAACTACTAATTATCCTTTTAGATTTTTCATTAAAAAAAAAAACACTCTCTCTTCATTTTGTATCCAAAGTCATACTGTAGATGATGTGTCTCTGAATTCAAGGCTGGACAAAGTGATATCAAAGATAGCTCTTCAGTTTACACAGTTTATGGAAATGCATACTGCCTGGTGACGTCTCTATTATTCATGTCCTATATCTTTTGGAAAATTGTAGATTTTTGCATACAGACCAAATCCAAATCAAGTTTGTGATTAAAACAAAACCCTTCCATTTCAGACCTCAGAATGCAGTGAGAGAAGATATTGTCACCAAAACGCTTTCTAAAATGGTCCTTCTAAAACAATGCTAATTGTTTTCCTACAAAGGAAAACTGTTTTCATCTCAAGACTTGGTCCCACATTGCTAAAGCCTATTGGTTACATTTGAGAGCAAACTCAACTGCATGCATCTTTCACATTTAAATTTTTTTTAACACGGTGCATATACATTGTGTGTTTCCCTGTCAAACTAATAAAGTTTATGCATGAGAAACTTGGAGAAGTAAGGTATGATGATTAACCTTGGCTGTAGGCTTGACCAGAGTTTAATCACTTACAGGATAGGTTACTGCACGTCTGTGGGAGTGGCTCCAGATGAAGACAGACTCACTCTGAATTTGAGTAGCATCATTCTATGGCCTGGGGGCCCAGGCTGAACAGAAAGAAGAGGTCCAAGAAAAGTCAAGTCCAACTTTCTGTGCTTTAAAGAATTCAAAGGAAAACCATTTCCCTGACAATGATAGACCCTAGAGGCAGTAGAGGAGGGACAGTAGTTATGGTTCCATGAGATGATGAGATATGCCTTTATTTAAACATAAAATTTGTGAGCAGTTGGAAAGATTAGCAAAATAACACAAGTAAAGAATTACTACAAGGGAGATTAAAAATTAGATTGCCCAGTCTCCTGATTCTAAGGTTATAAAAAACTTTCACAAAAATGAATGCACTTAAAATTATGGGAAGCATAAGGCATCAGTGTTAAGGGAAGTATAAAATCCTAACGAGATGGAGAATGATGTTAGCTGGGGTCAATAACAATAACCTGCTATGAGGAAATGACATCTTCAAACAACCTTAAGTATATGCCGTAATTTGATTGAGAGCATTTGGTTAAAAGGCAGGCAAGGATGAAGAAGCTATATTCAGAGAAGGTTAATTACTCCTTACTCAGTGGAAGTTGGTAAATAAAAATCAAAGTCCAGGCACAGTGTCTCAAGACAAGTGAGAGCCTACTTCTCAGCAAACAGACTTAAAGACTCATTCTTCTGGGAGTTAGCTTATCATCCCCAGGTATTCTTCCTTACATACATATTGTTAAGGGTACAAAAAGTGACTTTTTTCCATCATAAAGTCTATCCCAAGTTCTCTGATAGTACAGATTTTAGGGGGTTCTGCTCATGGAAAACCCCTGGTAGGTCTCTAGGCTAATTCTGAGGGGCTGCATGCTGGTGCTGTTCTGCTCTACACAGACCAAGTAGAGCAGGCTACTATTTCCATGGTGTGGATACAGAAAATGTTCTCTGAGCGTACTCAGTCACCAAACTCACTTTTAATACTAATTTTCTATCAAACAGCATGTCAAAGAATCAAACTTCAAATAGCTAAAACAAAAAGGCGTGTTTGTGGTGTGGCTTATGCAGTCAGTGGAGGAAGCTGGGCATCTCTGGTGTTCCCTGTCCTGTCTGTGCTGCTCTCTACAAGATAACCACAATTTCAGATGACAGTGGCACTTTAGCCAAAAAGTCACATAGGGAGAACAACTTCCACTCAAGACTTCTCAGGGAAGAGCTCAGGGATTGTCTCTGAACCCATCACTATGACTGAGAAACCAAGAACACATGAAGGGGGAATAGTCTCATTTGTACCACATGGCCAGAGTTGCACGGACAACAGTTTTCTCCTAAAAAGATCGAGCATGAAGGGGAAGACAAATTGTGGCTTTTGGAGACCAGTTGAGGAGGTCATTATAATCTGCCATCTCTTAGAACAAAGGTACAGGGGGTACTAAGAATAGACTTTTGAGAAATAGGAGGAAAGTGTACAAAGCGATACAAGTGCTGTAGTTTCCATCTATAACATCCCCCTAAGGCTTATGTGTTTGGTCTCCTACTGGAGGTTCTTCTGAAATGTGGTAGAAGACTTGTCCTCACTGGAAGCAGTGGGTTTGTCAGGGCCTGCTTTCGAAATCTCGTTTAGTTCCTCAGCTCTTTACGTCTCTAGCTCTTTGCTTCCTGGCCACTATGAGGTAAAAAGTTTTATTCTACAACATACTTCTCCTGTGATGTTCAGAATCTCCAAACACTCAAATGCATCGTGGTCAACTGTAATGTACTAAATTCTGTAAATCTAGGATCCATAAAAAAAAATTGTATTATTTGCCTCAGCTAAGCTTTTGTCAGACCAATAGAAAGCTAACATACATAGAGGTGGTAAGAGGACCTGCTGCGGGTAGCTTCAGCTTCTTCCTGGGCCTGCTCCTCTCAGTGGCTTTCCAGCCCACCACCAAGAGGAAGTGAGACAATCGCGTGGCCTACATGAATCCAATAGTTATGGCTCAGTCAAAGGGTCTAATTTAGTCTTCAGGACCAACAATCCAGGCTGATCTGAATCGACCAAGGCCCGCCTGGGAGGAAGTAAAGGAGCAGCTGGAAAAGAAAATGAAGGGCCCCAAGGCTTTGACTGAGCTTGAAGAAAAAATGAATGAGAATTGGAAGAAAGAACTAGAAAAACATAGAAAAGATTATTAAGTGGAAATGAGAGCTCATCCAAAAAAAGACAGAAAAACAAAAATGAAAAGAAGAAATCTGGTAGGTATTCATCTTCTTCTTCATCGAGCTCTGATTCTTCCTGCAGTTCTTCAGATTCTAAAGATGAGGATAAAAAAACAAACAAACAAAAAGAAGGAAGAAAAAGAAGAGCCGTTGCCATAAGTCTCCTGAGACCTCGGTGTTGGATTCAGACTCAGACAGCAAGGATGGTTCAAAAAAGAAAAAGAAGTCAAAGGATGTAACTGAAAGAGAAAAGGACACTAAAGGACTCAACAAAAAGAGAAAAATGTATGAAGATAAAGCGTTATCATCTGAGTCGCTGTCAGAATCAAGCTGTGGAGAAGTACAAGCAAAAGAAAAAGAAGAAGAAAAGCAGCGAAGAGTGAGAGAACAACAGACAAAACCAAAAAGAAGCACAAGAAGGAAGCATAAGAAGCACAGCAAAAAGAAGAAAAAGAAGGCTGCCAGTTCAGGCTCAGACTCACCATAGTGTCCAGGAAGACCAGGGTCCTTAAAGGAGAGTGCAATGTAAAGGAGCTCTCAACTGTGAAGATGATGACATACTTAGTAACGCGCATGGATCCCCTTGTTTTCAGATGTGTCCTGGACTAGTCAGTACCACTTGGACTCCGCTGTGTGGAAGGCCATGATTGTCGCCTGCTGCTTGAACACATTTCCTCTTCCGGTGCTTGGTGACTCTGGGAGACAGTACTTTACAGTCATACTAGTGGTTAAGGGATTTGGAATAAAGCTAATATTTTTTACTAGAAGTACTTAAGAATAAATCAACAGAAACTTAATTTGGATCCATCTTTTAACATGTAACCAGAAATACTGAGATGGCTCTAGTAAAAATTTTCAAAGTAGGGATTAGATTAATATTTCAAAGTCCTTACTCTGTAGATAAGTATATTTTAATTTTTCCCCACATGTACTTTGATTTACTTGGGGAAGGAGCTTTTAAAGAGGGGGTTGTTTGCTATCTCTTTAGCTACCAGAACAGCGTGCATTTGATCTCACACATCCTAGTTTTGTGGACACAGTAGCCATGCTTTCTGGAAGGACAGAGCTGGGCACCGTCAGTCCTGCTCCTGACTGAGGTTAATGACATCCTTAGACTTTGTTGTATGCTGCTTTGAATGAACCAGAGATACCTGGCCCTTTGCAGCATTAGAAAGTCCCCAAATCTCTGGAGTTTACCTCCACTTCAATACTAATTGAATGTTTTGGGGGTTACATTGTGTTACTTCATTTGAATTCATTTTGATTACACTTTGGCTTTGGAGAGGGATTTTTTTAGTAGACACTGATACATTCTGAGCTTGATAGCTGACAATTCAAAAGCGTATGTGTTATACAAGTTTTAACCAGTCAGAAGATTTTTTATGTAGCCAGTAATAGATACTTTATGTTTTGTATAAATTTTGTTTCTGCTGCAGTGTTTAGCTTTTAACTAACTCTTGCTGTCTTAAGTTCGTAACTGTTTAATGGCACACTTACAAGATATTTAGCATGTAAAAAGCAGAACTTTGGGTTTTTTGTTTTTAATGGCTTTATATTGAGGCTTACCACAAACAAGTTGAATGGCAGGCCTGGTATGCCGTATCTTGTTACATAAGACTATTGCCAGAATCTTAGTAAACATATGTTTCAAAAGTTTGTTGTCTTTGTATATGAATAACAGATTATGACATGTCAAAAAAAAGCTAACATACAATGTCAGGTAACACTGTATACAGACAACCTTTTTGAGATGAATAGAACATTTAATTTTAACCAAACCATATCGTTCCCCACTCAACTCCAGTCACATAACCCAATGGCTATATGAAAAGTATACAACTGCTTCCAATTTGCCAAGCCCATCCACCAAATATGCTATCCCATTTTATGTAATATTGAGAAAAATTTCAAGTATATTTTGCAACTTCAATAAAACTAATATATTTTTCTAAGAATTGAATAATAAAAATGAAGAATTAATTGGTATCAGGATAACATAGATTAATACATATTTATAGTTAAAACTAAAGGTTACCTCCCAAACAGAAAATCCACTCCAGGAGAGTCTTCTGGCTGCCAGACACATAGCCAAGACACATACGGTATCTGATGGCGTTGGTTACCTCACAGAGTCAAAGGCATTGGAGACCTTAATGTGACATCGTTACTGGCGTCTTGACCTCACTCAAACAAATAGATCCCTGCAGATGAAATATAATTTATAATCCTTCAGAGAATTTTCCAGCTATACCTGAAGCATCATTAAACAATAATGAAACACTAGTCTAACAGTCATCTTGTGAGACAAATTAAATCAAACCCACTGCTGCTATAAACAGAAACATAGAGCCCTATATCTGGATTGTTCACAGCCTATATCAGCCTTGAATGTTGCTGCTAACTGCCAATACTATAGATGTTTCTATACTGGTCCCATCCAATTGGAAATCTGCTATAAAGCATATAGAAACTAAAATACATTATTTACTTCAAAATTCTCCTTATTTCCCCACCTTTTGTGTAATTCTCAAAGAAACAGGATCTTTCCTTTCTCTAAGACATTAAATGCTGTCTGCTGATGTCACCCCTCATTCATCATATTCTGATTCATTGGATATTTTTATTTCTCTTGGGTACCAAAAACTTTAAACTGAAGCTTCTGCAGCAACTGGTACTTTTGAATAAACATTTCCCCCATCCATCATTTCAAAAATGATAATGGTTCAACTATATCTAGACACCTATCAAACTTCATGTTTTTGCTTCAATGTCACCTTCTTACAGGTACCTCCATCCTTTATGAAGATTTATTTCATTTTATTTTTCACAACACCCCATTCTTTTCTTTCATAGGGAAAATTTATTAGATGATGTCTTTTATTACAACAGTCATATGGTGTAAAAAAACATCATTTGCTTCATTCATCCTTCTATATCTTGCACCTGTCAGATAGTAAATAACCAAAACACTTTCATGAATGATGATTTGTTGTCACCAAATATTCTTTCTCTACTATGGTACAGTCTTCTGTTTTCCAGATCTGGCTTTATGCTTCAGTCCAGGAACTGAGATAACCATCATTTTTCTAAAGTGCACATCAAACCTTCTCACTTCTCTGCTTTCCTGGTCTCTCACCATCACCATCTTCTGCATAAACTAGCATAGGAAAATCATTCTCTTCCATGTCATTTCAAACAATTATTCTATGAAATGGTGTTATAAGAAAATATTGTGCAAACATTCTAGTTCAATTCCCCAGTAGAAGGATGTGGTTAATGACTTCATATGAAATTTGAAGAGCCCAACTAGGACTCAGGCTCACAAAAAAGTCTAAGTGACTTTCTATCAGTGACAAGAGAGTTTATGTTTACCTCAATCATAGTGAGGTATGTCACTATATAGAACAATTTATCTAGTGAAAAAGCATAGTTAGTTTAAAACAACAAACTTTATCATTTGTGCAAACCAAATGTTTCAATGTCTGTTGTCTGACCGTTGAGGATCTACATCTAAGTTTTTAAAATTAATTGGTTATTTTATTTATTTACATTTCAAATGTTGCTTCCCTTCCTGGTCTCCCCTCCACACCCCCCATCCCATCCTCTCTCCCATTTGCCTCTAAAAGGATGCTCCCCCATCCACCCACTCACTCCCACCTTACCCCTCTAGCATCCCCCCTACACTGGGACAACAAGCCTCCACAGGACCAAAGGCCTCCCCTTCCGTTGATGCCAGATGAGGCAATCCTTTGCTACATATGTAGCTGGAACTATGCATGGACTCATCCATGTATACTCTTTGGTTGGTAGTTTAGTCCCTGGGATCTCTGGGGGGCGGGGTCCAGTTAGTCAATATTGTTGTTCTACCTATGTGGTTACAAGCCCCTTCAGCTCCTTGAGTCCTTCCCCTAACTCTTCCACTGGGGTCCCTGGGCTCACTTGGCTATGAGTATCTGAATCTTTCTTAGTCAGATGCTGGCAAAGTCTCTCAGAGGACAACCATACTAGGCTCCTTTCTGGGAGCACTTCTTGACACTAGCAATAGTGTCAGCATTTGGTGTCTGCAGATGGGATGGATTCCAACGTGGGGTGGTCTCTGGATGGCCTTTCCTTCAGTCTCTGCTCCAATTTTTGTCCTTCTGTTTCCTTTAGACAGGAACAATTTTGGGTTAAAACTTTGAGATGAGTGGGTGGCATCATCCCTCAACTGGGGGCCATGCCTATATACTGGAGGTGGTCTTTTCAGGTTCTACCTCCCCTCTGTTGGGTAATTCAGCTAATGTCATCCCCATTGGGTCCTAGGAACTTTGTATCTAGGATTTTCTAGTAGTTCTCCCCATTCCCCACCCCCAAATGCTACATATTTCTGTTCAGTTTTCTGACCCTCTGGACTTCTTTCCTGTCTCTCCCCATACCTGATCCTGCCCCCCTTTCCTTCCTCCTCCTCTCTCTCTTCCAAGTCCATTCCTCCCTCTAACTCTTGTGATTGTTTTGTTCCCCCTTCTAAGTAGGATTTAAGCATCCACACTTAGTTCTTCCTTTTTGTTAAGCTTCATACAGTCTGTGAGTTGTATCTTATATCTAATTTTTTAGAAAGTATAGCAACATTTTAGTAAGTTGGAAAAGATGGAGGTCATAACACATCTCTGTGGTATGTGTGCCTATCTGCTCTCTTGACTGTTACACAATGGACAAAGGCTTTGGACTTCAATTGCTTCTGGTCTGTGCACTCACAATTGTTTATTATTGACATTTACTTACTGAGACAGTGTCTTACTGTGTAGCCTAGGCTAGCTTCAAATTTACGATCCTCCTGCCTCAGCCTCCTAAGTGCTAGAAGTCCAGTTGTGTGCTATCATGCTCACCTCATTGTTCTAAATCCCACGTATAGGAATGCATACATGCAAATACATACACACACAGTTTTTTGAATCTTTGAGTTTCATAGGTGTGGGTTCTTTACTCAATGTAAGCCATTTACAAATTACATACTGATCAAAGACTAAACATAAATAGTATAATAAAAATTAAAGAAATAACCCTAAGAACTCATTATAAAAGACAAATGACTTAATTTTAAAACAAACAAATATTTTGGGTAGTTAATTCTTAAGAAGAAATGAAAATGACCAAGAGCATATTAAGCATATGAATGTTTAACATGATCATCTCCAAATGCAAATGAAGTTACAATAAGCTAGCATTCACATTCACTAGGATGCTCATGTTGAGAAGACAGATCACAGAAAATGCTAGTAACGATGCTGAACACTGAAATTCTCACACACTGCGAGCAGAAATATATATCACAGCAGTACAGTCACTTTGAGAAAAAGTACAGGAGTTCCTCAAAAGACTATAGGTAGAGCCACCAAATGATTCTATGAATGAATTCACAGAATTCAGCCATAAGCGGTGAAAGCTCATGGCTACACACAAAATGTACACAAATATTTGTGGCAGCATTACTCAAAGTTGCTTAACATGGGGGAGAATGTGGCTACCTAACAACAGAGGAGTGGACCAAAAGTGCACCTGCATGTAGCAGAATATTGCTGGTGAGTAAAAATGAAACACAATACACTATGACAAAGATGATACTTCATAGTAAGTGAATAAAACCAGGTATAAGAATGGCATATGACATGATTTCATGTGTAAGAAATCTCTAGATTTGGCAAATCCATAAACATAAAAGTAGATCAGTAGTTACCTAGGACTAGAGAAAATGGACAGATTATAAATGGGTATAGATTTGTTTTGGAAGTAACAAAATGTTCTAAAATTAGTTATGGCTATACTTGCATTAATAAAATACTATAACCAGTTGAGGAACTGGAAAGATTTCTTTTTCTACAAGCACTTGTTGCTTTTCTAGAGAATAGAGTTCAGCCCATATCATCCACATTGGCAGCTCTGGGGGATCCAATGGCCACTTCCAGGCTCTGGGTGCTCCACCACACAGACAAATATGTAAAATAAAATAAGTAAAGTATAAAATAAAATAAAATAATAAAAACCTGTTAATTTGTGCTTCAGGAAATGTGCTTCAGAAATTACACATATCAATTACTCCTAAAGACAAATATATAAGGAGAAGCTGAGAATAAAAGCATTGTTTGAGTTTTCATAAAGGAAGAGTTAAATCCCTTTCATAAACTCATGGATGTAGGCTGTGTAGCCCATTCTCTCCCTCGCCCCCATGCACTTGAGCTTAGGGTTGCTGGTTTCTGTTACAAAATAGCAACAATTCCGACTTGGAACATGAGATCTGGTGGCAGGAGTTCAAGGCAAACTAACAACCAAATTAAAATTTGACTCTCACGTTGGAAGACAAAGTATAAAAATTCTGACAGAAAGTGAAAAGGATGAGACAATTATACAAATGGACAATCCAATCTGGAACTTGCCTAATGGTCTACCTTCAGGACAAAGAGAGTCCAGGGGAGAAGAGAAGCACAAAACAAGACTGTGGAGGGACAGACACCTTAAATGAGACAGCACTTGAACTTTTCTGATTCAGTGAAGAATGTACCTATAAGAGGGGTCCTGAAATGCTCTGTGACATGCTAGGATTCTAGAGGACACTTTCCTTCAATATTCAGGGGAATTTTATCTAACATGGAATTTTATACTTAAAAAAAATCACATTAGTAAAATGTCAGTTTAAAACCAAAAAAGAGCAAGCCATAGAATCCATAAAATTGATGGTTCACCACAAGAAAGAAAGGAATCTAAGTTTCAGCGTGCTGGTTAAGAACCTCAAAGTAGACCAAATACCAGAGAACAGAAGAGCGGATGGAACAGAGGTAGGAAGTTGCATCTACGTTGGGCAAGACCTGAAGGGAGGTCCTCTGAAGTGATGAGCTTATGGAAGGGAGCTTAGAAACCTCAAAGACTCAGAACCACATGGCACATTGCTGAACTCTCCAAGGGGCCTCATTTAAACAATGTAGCAACAAAAGCTTAGGAATTCTGATTGAGGACAAAATAATGCCTCTCTCTCTCTCTCTCTCTCTCTCTCTCTCTCTCTCTCTCTCTCTCTCTCTCTCTCTCTCTCTCTCTCTCTCTCTCTCTCCCCTTTGGCCAGTTTCTACTGTGTGGGGTTAAAATTAGCAGCTATCTGTATGGAAGAGAACCTCAGCAGATTCTAAAATCTGCTTCTACCTTGAATTTTGGATTCCCAAACCCCAGAACTGAA